CCTCTCCCATCATCCCTCCCTCCCTCCTCCTCCTCCTCCTCCTCCTCCCTCCTCCCTCCTCCCTCATCCCTCATTTCTCGTCTCTCCTCCTCCCTGTGGTTTTCAAAACGTAGCTCTCGCCTTAGCGCGGCGCACATTCGTTTGAAAAAATTGCGGGAGTTTCACGGGTTGAGGGTGGTTTCTTTTCAAAATGTGGCTCTCGCCTTAGCGCCGCACGCATTCGTTTACAAAATTTGCATCACGTATTCCCATCATCAACGTACCAAAAATTGTGTTTGGGGAGAATTCAGGAGCATGCGGATGCAACCGTTACATTGATCCTCTGCGTTAAAGTCCCCAGAATGGGGTTCTGGTACGATTCGGGATCGTCAAGATGCAACAATCATGTTGATCCGTGACGTTGGAATCCCGAGAACCATATTTTGGCGTGCTTCAGGGTCCTCGAACGGTTGTCTTCCAACGAGGAAGTTCCCCCAATGGAAATGAACCGTTGTAAGGGGCCTATGAAGAGGGGGGTTGGAGTGAGGGTTTACTCCAAGATCTTCGATGACTCTTGGGTTTACACTGGTCCTTCTCCTCCTCCTACTCCTCCTACTCCTCCTCGGAGTGAGATGTTAGCTTATTTTTGGCACCGAGGAGTCATCCCAGCCCAATGGCTCCAGGTCGATCCGCCAGCGAGTACGGAGAGTTGGAAGGCCTGTGGTATTGCCAGAGGTGAGCTTTTTCCTAGTTGCTTAGGGGTCGGGCGGAGTGATGACCCCGTCATTGTCTTCGGGGACGCATCGGGGTGGGCCGACTCCAAAAATCAGTTGATCGGCCTTGCAATCGCCACCATGTCGAGTTGCTCGCCCGCCGTCGTCAACACCGCTATGTATGGGCCCTTGGTGGGGCCACACCAAACCGTTCCTCGAGGTGAATTAGCTGCTCTGGAGCTCGCCATTCGTTACACTATCGGTCCCGTCGTCTATGTTGCTGATATCGTGGAGGTGGGGGATGGGCGGTGGGCTCAGAAGTATGCGCGTCCTTCGGGATGATGGCCCAGCTCTGGAGATCCAGAGGTGAGATACTGAGTACACAACAGCGTCCTCATCATGAAGTCATCGTCCTCTGGTTGTCCTCGCATCTCAGTGATCGGAAATACTGTGGTCGACGAGCTTGCGAGTCACGCTGCCGAAGAAGCTAGACTGCCGCAGGGTGTGAGGGCGAAAGTGCTCGAGGTCGAGGGCAATGCCATTCTGGTTCGGAAGAGATTGATGAGGGCTAACCTTGATGTCATGGCGGTGACGAACAGGAAAGCCGAGCGTTCTCTTCCATCCCGGCCTGCTGCTGCTGCTCCTCCTCCTCCCTTTCTCCCCATCCAGGCTCCCGCCACCATCCCCAGCCGCCGTCACTCGTTTTTGCTCGCCCCGTCGAGTGGACGACGGGGGCAGGAAGTGCACTCGGTGCCTCCCGAGGTCCGGCAAGGCGGCCAGGACAGCCTGAGCCCCGTGCCGGCCGCTGGAGGCCGTCGGCGGGGGGCTCGGCAGAGCGGCCCCGGGGACAGGAGCTGTGCATGCGGGGGGGGGGGGAGGATTTGCACACAGCACGCATCGGATGCATTTTCACGTGAGCAGTGGTTATCGGTTTTGCCACATGTGTTCGCGTTTCGGGTCGGACCAGGTTCGGGACCTGGGACAGGCTTGCACCACGGCCAACCTCACGGCCAAGAGGCGCGAGATTCTCAATCGATTGTCCAAGGGCTTAGAGCCCAAGGAGTAGCCAGCTTCGTGACGCTTCGCGTCTGTTCCGATTCCCGCATCTGAACTGCTGGGAACGCCTCACGCGCCATTTTGGCTGCGCTCGGTCTCCTCGGTGCCTGTCTTCAGACTCCCTGGATGCGCCGTTGCATATCTCGTTCAGGGGCTGTTCTGCAGACTCCCTGGATTGCACGCTGGCTCTGCCGCCTGGGCGCTGCCCCCCCCCGCCGCCTGATCCGCGGCCCCCGCGCGCGCTCGGCAATTTAGTCGCGGCCGCAGCCCGCCCGCGACCGCCCGCCGCTGGCGCTTCCGCCTGCGGCTTTTTTTTATAACAAAAAAAAAGTCTGTTCCGATTCCGATTCCGATTCCGATTCCTCCTCCTCCTCCTTCCTCCTCCTCCTCCTTCCTCCTCCTACCCCTCCTCCTACCCCTCCTCCTCCTACCCCTCCTCCTCCTCCTCCTCCTTTCTCCTTTCTCCTTCCTCCTTTCTCCTTCCTCCTTCCTCCTTTCTCCTTCCTCCTTCCTCGTTCCTCCTTCCTCCTCTCTCATTCCTCCTTCCTCGTCCTCCCTTCCTCCTCCCTCCTTCCTCCTTCCTCCTGGAAAGTCCTGGGCGCCACAGTCCCTCAGGAAGAGGAGGACGAGGAGGAGGAGGAAAACGAGGACTGCGAGGGAGGATGAAGAACGTGGCGAGGTCCCCACGCCTGCGCTCACCGCATGGATCGCCTCCAGGAAAGACTGAAGGAACCCCGCGCTGGTCGGAGACCCTGCCTACACCCACCAGACGACGGCGACCTCCCCAGACATCCAGCGCCTCGAAAAGATCAAGGCGTCCGGCTTGTCGCCATTCTGACTCTGGAGGCCGCGTTCGGGCCCCAGGGCCATCGAGACTCGGCTCGGGGTGAAGAAGAGGCCCTGGGGAAGGAGTCGAGAGGTCCGAGGGCCCGCGCAAACAAGAAGACCAGCGCGCGACAGATGGCTGGGTCCGACGCCGTGCACAAAATCCGCGGCGTCCTGGCGTGAAGACCAATACAAAAAAAAGCTGGAGCTGTCGGCCCGACCTGTGCAGAGGACTCTTCGAGCCAGATCGACCCGCGAGGGCCCCCTGGGGCCCTGGGGCGGGCCAAAAAAACACCCGTCGTGAGCTCTCCGTCGTATGTCCCGCGCGCGGATGTCGTGAGTCGTCGTCGTACGCGAGACCAACCTCCAAGCATCCGCTCAGAACTGACATCCCGTGACGCTCGCCCCATCACGTGGACGGAGGAGGCAGGGAGGAGGAGGAGGAGGAGGAGGAGGAGGAGGAGGAGGAGAAGGACGAGGAGGAGGAGGACGACGACGACGACGACGAGGACGACGACGAGGACGACGACGAGGACGACGTCGACGACGACGACTACGACGACGACCACGACGACGACAACGACGACGACAACGACGACGACCACGACGACGACGACGACGACGAGCCCCACGGCCCCATGGCCAGGCTTCTGTGGGTCTGGCCTGGGCCGGCGGCGGCGAGTCTCCGGACGCCGCCGCCGCCTCCGTAGCTCAGGGCACAGAGGCCCGCCGCCCGACACGGAGGGCCGCCGAGGGGCGCCGAGGGCCGCCGCCGGACACCGACCAGCGGCCGCCGAGGGCCGCCGAAGGTCGTCGTCGTCGTCGTCGTCGTCGTCGTCGTCGTCGTCGTCGTCGGTGGGCGCGGCGAGGGTCTCCCCGGCTGGGCCCCGCGGCACGGCGGCTCTCGCCGAAGCCGGGCAGGTCGGCGGCGACGGCCCGGAACCCAGCGTCCGCCAGGGCGTCCATCACCCCGGTGACCTGCCCACGCGCGGCCCGCAGCAGCTCTCGGCGGCCCCGTCGTCGTCGACGTCGTACCCACGGCGGCCACCGCCGCGCCGGACTCATCTGCCAACTCAGCCGCGTCCTCTTTCCCCGTCTCCTCCTCTTCCCCTCCCCCATCTTCCCGCCCACAAGGAGGTACACGTCATCAGCACGACTCGCCTCTCTCCACGGAGTCTGTCCCGAAGATGTCCCGCCACCTCCGCGTATTGTTCCTTCCACACACTGGATTGAAATGTTGGAAGGAAAAATGTGCGGAGGGAAGCGTGCGCGCGGGGCACGTGTATTCACGTGTCCACGGGGGTATCGGATATCCTACATGGCGTGGGGAGGGACGTTTCGGCTGAGACATCCTCATAGCATGGGGATGTTGGAGGAGCTGTTTTACGACGTTGGCTCTCAAATATCAAGCTTTCACCTGAAACATCCTCAGGAAATCTGCCGGCCCCCTTGTGGGGCCACCAGGCTGTAAGGCGAAGCGTGCTGCTCCCTGCACTAGTTGCAGTTTCAAGTCTCGAATACTACAGTCCTGCTTTCTGCTTCCTATTGTAATTTGTTTGAGTCCGCGCGAGTGAGGGAGCCCCAAAGGACCCGGTTACCACGCCCTGATCGCGTGCTCTGAATTCCTGGGGGGGGCGTGGGACACATAAAAACACATTAGATTCGCGTCCCCGAGGCCATAATCCTTCGTAATTTACCCATTCGCGTCCCCGAGGCCACTACGCCACTCTGGAAGCTCAGCAGCTCCAGCATTGTGCCAAGGCCTCCAACCACTGGCTGGGCAAAGGCTCAGAATTCGGCATCGACACTTACGACCTCATCAAGAAGCTGAAGGTGCGACGCAAACGAGGCAAGCACCGTGAGGCTGGCGCACTGCTGGCGGCGGCGAGCGCTGGCATGTGGACGCCAGATCGCAAGCACAAGACATTCTCCGATGCATCCAACACCTGCGCCTGTGGCGAGATCTGCGACGACCTCCACAGAGTTTGGGGTACAAGTACGAGCAGGGACGACCACAAGGGCTACGACAAGACGGAGTGTATCAGGCAAAGAGCTATGAAGGGCAACCATCATACACCTTGTTTCTGGCTACGAGGTCTCGTGCCAAAAGCATGGACGGTGCCCCCATATTGCGACACCACAGAGCAGCATACCAACGTTAGCGACGTCAGCAACGACGGCAAGGTAACGACCACAGACGACATTACTGTGATATGCGCCAACGGCAGCGGAGGAGAGCAATCACACAACCCACGATACGAAGATGTGGATGGGGATGGTCCAGACTGCAGCGGCACGGCGAAGACTGGCATTTGAATGCTGGACAGTACGGACCACTCCCAGGACGACGGCAGACCAACAGTAGGGCGGAGCTATTGGGAAATACGTCAGGCGATACGTTGCTCAGACGGACAACTCCATATATGGATGGATTCCGAGGTGGCCATTCGAGGCCGCCACGTACTCAGCACGCGGCGTCGTGCGAACTACGACATCTGGAACCGCATCGGTAGTGCGTTGAGACAGAGAGCTCCCGACAATAGCGACCCCGAGAAGCTCGTCAAGCTGCAGCATGTGCCGAGCCACCTCGACAACGAAAGGCTGAGGCTCGGAGTGAGCCTCGAGACGTGGCTTGGCAACGCAGCCGCAGATGCGCTGGCCGGGAGAGCAGCGGAAGCACATGCGATCGCAGCCCCGCAGCTCGAGATGTACGAATGGGTTCGCGCAACCTGCGCGCTGGTGTGGGAAAGACTCACTCGTGCTCATATCGAGTCCTGCGCCAAGGACCCCGCCGCCCAGATGAGCGAGAAGCAGGCCTCCCAGGAGCTCAAGGAAGCCACCAATGAGCTGAGCCATGCCCTTTCTGCCTCGCCTCACGTCCTCCTCCCCTCACGTAGTCATTGGCAGTGTTCCGCGTGTAAAGAAATGTTAGTAAGCGTGCAGGTGCCTTGGTCATCAAGAGATGGCTAAAGCATTGCAAAATGCGTCCTGGGTCTAAGTTCGCCCGTGGTTCCATGCAAAGCATCCGGATAAGAAATACATAGTTCCACCCCTCCCACACGATGCAATATGCCAACGTTTGTTCCACGTGATGGTGCACCACCTGTGGCCGACGGTTCAAAGCGTCTGATCGTGGGAATGACAAAGGTTTATGCCCACCCAAAAACGGGGAATATGCAAACAAATGCTTGTCCCAAGGCAAGCCTGTGCCACACTAGGGGCGGCCACGTTCCCGTCCCCCGAGATGGCGCAGCCAATAGGAGAAACTCGACATCGTCGTCGCCAAAGATTCTTCGGAGCTCCTCCTCCTCCTCATCCTCCTCCTCCTCCTCATCTTCCTCCTCCTCTCCCTCTCCTCCCTCCCTCACCCCTCCTCCCTCCTCCCTCATCCCTCCTCCCTCCTCCCTCCTCCCTCCTTCCTCCCTCCTCCTTCCTCCTTCCTCCTTCTCCTCCTCCTCTCCTCCTCCTCCTCCTCCTCCTCCTCCGCCTCCTCCTCCTCCTCCACCTCCTCCTCCTCCGCCAGAGCCTCCGCCTCCTCCGCCTTCGCCTCCTCATCCGCCTCCGCCTCCGCCTCCTCCTCATCCCCTCCTCCTCCTCCTCCTCCTCCTCCTCCCCATCCTCCGCCTCCTCCTCCGCCTCCTCCTCCTCCGCCTCATCCCTCTCCCTGCTCCTGCTCCCATCCTCCCTCCTCCCTCCTCCCTCCTCCCTCCCTCCCTCTCCTCCTCCCTCCTTCCTCCTTCCTCCTGCCTCCTGCCTCCTTCCTCCTTCCTCCTCCCTCCTTCCTCCTTCCCTTCATCCTTCCTCCTTCCTCCTTCCTCCTTCCTCCTTCCTCCTTCCTCCTCCCTTCTCCCTCCTCCCTCCTCCCTCCTCCTCCTCCGCCTCCGCCCCCTCCCCCTCCTCCTCCTCCTCCTCCTCCTCCTCCTCCTCCTCCTCCTCCTCCTCCTCCTCCTCCTCCCCTCCTCCTCCTCCTCCTCCTCCTCCTCCTCCTCCTCCTCCTCCTCCTCCTCCTCCTCCTCCTCCTCCCTCCTCCTCCTCCTCCCCCTCCCCTTCCCCCTCCCCCTCCCCCTCCCCCTCCCCTCCCCCTCCCTCCTCCTCCTCCCCTCCTCCTCCTCCTCCTCCTCCCTCCTCCTCCTCTCCGCCTCCTCCTCCTCCTCCCTCCTCCTCCTCCTCCTCCTCCTCCTCCTCCTCTCCTCCTCCTCCTCCTCCTCCTCCTCCTCCTCCTCCCGACCTGCCACGTGCGGCTGGTGAACGCGGCGCCGTGGCAGAACGCCACCACCTTTGGATGCGGGCCAGCCCATGGCCCGATCCCAGCGATCTGACCGGCGGCCGGCGGGATCGCAGGCGATCGGAGCGGCCGCGCTCGCGCGGCGCCCGCGGCGGCACGGCGCCACGAGCGCCAACACTGGGCGGAAGTCCTCGCTGGCGCCGCTCTGACCTCGCGACGATCTGCACTCTTGCCTCTGGGCGTCAGCGGCCGGCCGCGGTGCGACGCTTCGGTAGACCGCTGGTGGTGACGTTGCGCACCTGCGGGGTCGATGCAGCGGTGCACTGGCGTCGCGTCCGCCCTGCGCGGCTCACAGAGGGATCTGATCCCGCCCTGATCCGCAGCGAGGCTGCAGGAGGGCGCTGGCCCATGCGCCCGTTCGCTGGCCCCAGCCGACGGTCTCGGCGGCCGCGCTCGCGCGGGGCGAGCCCGCCTGCTGAGCGAGACGTCGGTGCCAAACGAGGGCGGGCAGCAACGACACTCGGCCGGGAAAAGCTCTCCCAGGCTGAGTTCGGCAGGCCGAGTTTCGCCTGGCCGAGTCTCTCCCTGGTCGGCGGGCAGCGCAACCTTCGCGCGGATCTGTTGTCTTTGTGCTGGAGGCCCCCCTGGTGGCGCCTCCGGCGCCGCCCCTGGCGCGTATGTCGTTGTTGTCTTTCTCGGCTTCTCCAGCATCCCCATGATCGGCGTCGAGCGAGGGGGAGAAGTGAGAAGGAGAAGGCCTTCTCAAAGGCGGCGGGGCGTCTCAGAAGCCTTCTGGCCCTCTGAGAGATGTTTTGTTTTCGGGAAAAGCTGAGGAAACTTCTTAGAAGGCCAGGGGGCTTACGAGCCTTCTGAGAAATGCCGCCCCTTCTCATTTCCCCCCGGGCTCGCCGCCCATCCCCATAAGCAACTGGCACGTCAAGGGGGTTGCGGAAGGGCGCTGGCCGATCAGAGCGGCCAGGCCGAACACGCACTAGCGGCTGTCCTGGACGAGGCGCTGCGGGCCACTGGCAGCAGAGGGAAGAGGAAGAGGGAGGAAGAAGAGGGTGGAGGAGGAGGGAGGAGGAAGAGGGAGGAGGAGGAGGGAGGAGGAGGAGGAAGAAAGCGGAGGGAGGAGGAGGAGGAGGAGGAGGAGGAGGGAGAGGAAGGAGGAGGGAGGGAGGGAGGAGGAGGAGGAGGAGAAAGGAGGAGGAGAAAGGAGGAGGAGGAGGAGGAGAAGGAGGAGGAGGAGGAGTGTGGAGGTGGAGGAGGAGGACTGTGGAGGTGGAGGAGGAGGAAGAGGAGGAGAAGGAGGAGGGGCGGGGGCGAAGTGTGAAGATCGCCCATGGCCCTTCCTGCGGAAGGCCTCCGAGGGAAAGCCGATCGGAGGGAGCGAGGGCCAGCCAACTCGCCGTCGCTCGGGCGTCCATTCCCCGTACAGTTGTCGGCTTCGTGCGTGCATTTTGTTCTCCCCCAAGGCGAACAGAAATGCTCCTCAATGCTCCTCGGCGGCGAAAAGTGCGCACGCCCGAGCGATGCCAAGGCCAGGAGGCCCATGCCTTGGCCACCCCCTCGCGACGCCCCCGACAGAAGTCCGCTCCAGAGCGACGCCCGGATCTCTCTCACGGCTGCGCCAAGCCGCAACGCCGAGCTTCCAGGAGAGCCCGAGCGACGCCGCTGGCATCGTCGTCGTCGCCGAAAGAGGGGTGCGTCAAGCGCACCCTCTCGGGCACTGCCAGGCCGACCCCTTCCGTCACGAGCCCCGTCCGTGAAGACCCCCATCACTCTCGAGGCCATTCTCTGACCGCCTGCCCACGTCGGCGACCACCTTGACCGTGATCCAAGCAGAAAGCGAACCACGGCAGGGGCAGCTGCCAAGATTGCTGATCCCCGTCCACCCCGAGCGTCTCTGCAACGATGCTGGCGCCTTGATTTGGCATGCCTCCCCAGGCCACTTGGCCACTCTATCCAGGGGAACAAAGCATCTATACGTAGATAATATATAGAAGCAGCTAGATCTGCGCAAACTTGAAATTCGTAGATCCACGCGCCAGCGATTGGGGGCCCAGCGCCGATGCAAGAAATCCGCGCGGCCCTCCGGAACTCTGCGTCTGTGCCGATGTGTCTTTTCGACTGCAGCGAGCGCCAGCGAGGGGGTCATCACGGAGAGGGACGGCGCTTGCCAGGGGTCGGTCGAGCCTCCCTTGGAAGTCTCCCGCGCCCGCGCAGGTGAGACGCGCCCTGGAGCCCCTCGCGCCCGCGCACGCGCGACGCATGCAGGCATCCGTGAGCGCCCCCTCCGGGGGCGCACGAAGGCACCCAGGCAGCTCCAGGGGTGCGTTCTGGCCAGAGTTTGGGGGCGAATCCAGCCTCGGCGACGAGGGGGGGCTTTGCATCTTCGGCAGATGGCGTCTGTCCCGCCGCGTCGCCATTCGCGTCGGATCCGCGTCGAATCCACATCGAACCCCCGAGTCCACGTCGAATCCGCGTCGACTGAGCATCAAATCTGCGTCGAGTCCGCGGGGGGGAGAAGAAGAGACCACAGCTGATTGGACAGCCAAGGCCGGCCGAACATGCAGTGCATAAAAGCGTAGCGATATGGGCACGTCTTCCTCCTCTGACCCTCGCCCTCGAGGGCCCCCCTGCGCCCGCCCGCGCCCGCGCCGCGGGAGCGCCCGCCTGCTCGGCCCCTCTGAGGCCTACTGGCAGTCTTGGAGGCCTCTTGGAGGCAGTGCTAAGGCCGCCTCGTGCCCTCGCTGGGCAGCCTTGGGCCGCCCGCCTCGACCTGCAGCCCGCGTGGGTGGCGCGTCGGCCCCGAAGACCAGTTTCCTGACCGTCGACGCCGCGCAATCCTGCCCGTCCCTAACTGCACGAGTCGGGCACACCGGCGGCGGCGCCGGCCCGCGACACCCCGCCGCCAGTGCCACCTCCGAGTCGCAGGCCGTAGTCGCCCTGGGCCGTCTCGGTGCCATCCTGACCGCTTGCGGGCCATCTTGGGCGTCTGGGCCAGGCCGCCCCCGAAGGGCCCCCCACCGCCCCAGACTCCCGCGCACAGCACGCGGCGCGGGGGGCGGGGTCCTCGACGACCGCCGCGGGCCCCACGTGCAGGGCCTGGTAAACCTGGGCACGCCAGACCAGGATATCCTTCATCCCTCGAAACCAATTTTTTCCAGACGGCTCCACGAAAAAAAAAGGCACTGCAATG